CTCCCTTCCTTGACAGCCAGGCCAAGCTGGCCTTGAACTCTGGGATCCACCTTCCTTTGTCTCTGCCTCCCAGGTGCTGGGATTAAAAAGGTGTGCACCACTATCGCCCACCAGGCTGATCATACTTCAGCCACATAGAAAGAGCATTGGAAGTGGGGTGAGGCTATACACTCAAAGTCTACTCAGTGATATACTTCTTCCTGCAAGTCTTTACTAAATGTTCCTTAACCTTTCCAGATAGCCTTCAGCTGGACAGAGTGTTAAAACACTTGAGTATATGGAGGGAAATAGCTCATTCAAACCACCATCCTCTTACTCTGGTTTGCAGTATGCTGTGGAAACATTATTTTGAAATCTGCTTTTGGAAGTTTAGTTGCAGATGTGTGCCTCCACCATCCCTACATGATACTGGATATTAACCCCGCACTTCGAGTGCTACACAAACTGCCAACTGAGCCATACCCCTAGCCTCTGGATATCTGCTGCTAATTGTCTCCACCTGTGGTGGTTTGAATGTAATTGGCACCCATAATCTGATAGGGAGTGGCACTATTAGGAAGTGTGGCTTTGTTGGAGTAGGTGTGGCCTTGTTGGAGTAAGTGTGTCACTGTGGGAGTGGGCTTTGAAGTTTCCTATGCTCAGGATACCACCCACTGTCACAGTTGACTTCCTGTTGCCTGCAAGATTAGCACTCTCAGCTCCACCACCACATCTGTCTACATGCTGCCATGTTCCCCCATCATGATAAAGGACTGAATCTCTGAAACTATAAGCAAGCCACTCCAGTTAAATGTTTTCTTTATGAGTTGCCATGATCATGGTCTCATCACAGCAATAGAACACAAAGACACCACCAGACTAATTTTAAAAGTTGTACGCAAAAGACTTGGGAAGTTTCACTTTCAGAAAGCCATCCTTCTGCTTAGCCAATTGTGCTTCTGTCCCCTTTCCCTGCCTCACTACAGTACCCCTTGGGCATCTCTTTGGGTACTTACTCATCATTAACAGTTCTCTGCTTTAGGGATCAGTCTTTTGTGGCACCCATGCTCCCTAGCAAGATGAACGTTATTTCTCCAGTCTCAAAACATTATAGTACTTCGAGGTACAAGATGAACTTTTCACTTCCCACATGAAGGAAAGTATGGAAAGTAGAGAAACATTTTTATACAAAACAGGCAGCATTTGACATTGCAGGGAGGCTAACATCTGGGCAAAGCTGTCCAGGGTAACTTACCTGAGCCAGGGTGATGCCCACAAAGAGAAAACCTAGTCTGTTGTCTTGGAAGTAGAAATCAATACTATATTCTTGTTCCTCCCCTTGATTTGGTTTGGTATTATTTGTTTGGACTTCAATTGAGGGAAATTATACTAATATTATATTATATTATATTATATTATATTATATTATATTATATTATATTATATTATATATTACACACACACATACACTGCAGTTAATTTTTTCAGGTGATCAGAATTCAGCGTTCTTAGATTTTGGTATCTGTAGCTGGAGTTTCCTCTCTCGGTCCCCCCAAGCCCCGGCAGTCCCTTAGCCCACTTAAAAAATAAACATACAGATGCTTATATTATTTAAACTGCTTGGCCATTAGCTCAGGCCTATCATTGTCTAGCTCTTACTCTTACATTCAGCCCATTTCTATTAATCTATACTTTGCCATGTGGCCCGTGGCTTACTGGTACCTTACATCTTCCTTATCCTGGCGTTGGCTGCAGGCAGTCTCCCCCTTCCCTTCCTGTTCCCTCAATTCTCCTCTCTGTTAGTCCCACCTATACTTCCTGTCTGGCTACTGGCCAATCAGTGTTTTATTTATTAACACACTTGCCATACAGAACATCCCACAGCAGGTATCCTAAAAGCTTTCTAAGTCCCAAATTTTAAGTATTGTGTTTGTGTGATGTAGGTGGAGGTGCCACTCTGGAGGTCAAATATTGGGGAAATTATTAAGGCCACTCCATGTAGTTAAAAGGGAGGTTTATTTTGTGGGGTAACTTACAAGTGAAGGGATAGTTTACAGGGTCTGGAAAAGGTATGGCAGTGTTCTCTGGAGAACTCTACTTGGTCTACCTCCAGTGTCCAGGGTCCAGGAACCAAGAGAGCCAGCGCTTCGGGATCTCAGGTTTTCAGGGTCCTCTTTTGACCTGCCTTGTAGGTGTGACAGTTACCGAAGCCTCAGTGGGGGTTGGAACTTCCAGACCAAAGCTGGAATGGCTGCCCACTGCAGTCAAAGGACAATTTTGTGGAGTGAGTTCTCTCCTTCCACCTTTCCATAGGTATGGTGTTTAGTATGATGTTTAAATGAGAACACCACCTCCACCCTACAGGCTCAGACGTTCGATTACATGGTCCTTGCTTAGTGGCACTGTTTGGGTATATTTAGGAACTTTGGCCTTGCTGGAGGAAGTAGTCACTCTGGGTAGGCTTTGATGTTTAAGAACCTCACACTGTTCTCAGTGCTTGCTCTCTGCTGTTTGCTCATGGTTCAAGATGTGAGCTCCAGTTTGCAGCTTCAGAAGCCATGGCTGTCTCTCCGCCATGGTGGACTCATCCCTCTGGCACCATAAGCCTAAATAAATTTTCCTTAATAAGTTGTCTGGCCATGGTGTCTCATCCCGACAATGAACATGGCTTGCAGAGATCAAGCTCAGGGTCATTAGACTTACACAGCGCTGGCCCTGCTGAGCCATCTCCCCCACCCACTTCTGAGACATGGCCTCTCTATGCAGCCCTGGCTGTCCTAGAAGTCCTTCTATAGACCAAGCTGGCATCAAACTCAGAGATCCCTGTCTCTACCTCACAAACACTGGGATTAAAGAAGTGTGCCCCAATGGCTGGCTCAGCCTAGTTTTTAAAAAGTTGTGCTGGTAACAGTGACTGAGGCAGTAAATGGTCTTTTTCACTCAAGCTACATCTAAAGCCTACAGTCAGTTTTCTTATATTTTATAAAGTTCAGGAAAACCCAAAGCAGATGTTAATGACTTACACTAAAACTCTTATCTTGAAAGATATTAATAGCTGTCAGTAATGACTTGCATTGTGTATCACCTTTGGAACAAAAAGGGGAGCCAGCCTGTCTTTGTTACTCTGTCGCTACAATAAGGTGCCCTGACAAAAGCAACCTGAGGAAGAAAGGTTTGGCTCAGAGCCGGGGGGTGCAGTTCATGGCAGTGATGTCACAGTGGGAGCTGCCGAGGCTGCCAGTCACAGGGCGTCTCTGGTTAAGAGGCAGAGATAAAGCCTCTTGTCAGCTCACTTCCTTTTTATACCTAGGATTCCATCCCAGGCAATAGTGTTATCCATAGTGATTAGGTCTTCCCAACTTACCCTAATCGAGATAACTCCCCATAGATACACCCAGAGGTGATCCTACATCTCGCAAAGCTGACAACTGAGGTTAGCTATACAGCCTACAATTTCTCTGGACACATCAGGTATTTTTCTCGAATTACTTAAATTCAGTGTAAGACTATGAATTAAAATCAAACACCCGTCTCTACTAAGATCACTCTAGTTGGTTTTCTCAACTTCTCATTTGTACTGTGAATCTTAATAGCTGAAGAAATTAATCCTTTTTACAAAAATGCTATATTTAGTAATTAGTTGCTGAAGAATGCTATTTCAATCTTCACACCACACCGAAGATGCTAATTCAAACTGCTCTCTTTTCCTCATTTTGTAACACTAGGAGAGAATTTAAAATGTTATTGTGCTTCTTGCATATTTCTTTTCTCATGGTAGCAGAAGCTGTGTAGGTGCCTTGAAAAAGGCTGTCTTGCTGACATCCCTAACAAGAGCCTAAAGCCATCCTACTCAAAGATTTGTGAGTTTCAACTTTGGAATCTAACGGAACTTAACGAGAAGGAAAATGCTAAGTACTTGATATCGTTTGCCAGCGCTCACTTCCTTATCAGTATAACAGAATCCTGTTGTCTTCAGTTGTCCCGAGTGTTGACAGCACCATTTCATCTATCTTTCAAAATAAAAATGAAACACCAGGGCAGGGTGTTGTGTGAATCTCCGAAATGTGAAGACTTCACTATTGCAATCTTTGTCTACACATTCTGGCTTATCCAGCTTTGGCCACATTCTTCCCCCACCTCAGTAAGTACTCTTTAAGACCCTCCATCCTAGGGACATACTCACTTGTTTCCCTCTTCTGGCCTTTATTAGGAATCCTGAACTCCCATGTGTCACTTTGGGCCCTCCTGCCAGGGTCTTTAACAAGT